GTAACTAATTGTCTCTCTCGCACCGCATCTCACCAATTCACAAACTTTTGACTTAAATTGCCATGAAAACGGTCCATCTTGGTCAACACCTTATGCTCTCATTTATTATTAATTCAAGAATTCATCTCCCCCTATTTCCCAATTACTCCTAATAGTATATATTGTGTCAAATTATCATTCTATAATGTCACGACATTGTGTGCCTTCATTCTTACCACTGATTGTACTTCATAAAAAGAATAATTAGAAGGTGTACATATATTCCTTGTGCATGGCATAATTCTTTATGACTTACCTTTTCACTATAGCCACTTGACCAATAAGTTATCGTTTCGCCCCTTTTTCATGTTTATCGAGCATATCTCCCTTAACATTTCTCATCCACAGGAATATCGGGTTACGACTCCCTCAATGCTTAACTTTACAAACCTCAATTTAATCACATTAACCATTATAGTGCCCGCCATGGTGGTTGCAAGACCAAAAATATATTCTTGTTCAAGGTCTCATCCTTAACGTAATTAGCACCCTCATTGCTAGTCCTTATCCATTGACCTAACTTCCAAATTTAACCACCATGGCTATAATTATCATTCTACTAAATGAATAGGCTCTAGCAATCCTATCAATCTCGCTTCGTTAACCATTGTTAGAAGGATTATGGAGCTAAACGCTTCTAACAAAAAGTTGACAGGACAACTTACAAAAAACTTGCCACACATTGTCAAGCCTCAGCCTTCATATTCATAGTATAGTAACTAATTTGCGTTTAACTTGTTCATTAATACAGCTTATCACTATCGTCCATTATATTCACAATAACTTCATCATGGTTTAGCTCCGTTCACAAGCCACTAGTGGTTACCATAAGTTGTTCTCTAATCCAGGCTCAATATTTTCATGTCACACACAATATATTCTTATTTTACTGGCAATCCAACTTTATCAAGTAGGTTGTCCTTTCTACGAATCACAATTGCAATTTTGTATATATAGACCTTTATCAAGGCATCCATTTCTTTTAGGCATCTTGCCCTTCATTTCTTCTCCATGTGTCTTGTATACTAGGTTGCATCTTTTACCTAGATGGGAGCAACACCAAATCACTCCATATTATACTTTGAAAAAGAGGTGGCTTACTAGATGACCATGGTGCCCATGTTGCTTCTTATCCGTGACTTGTGCTGTGCAGTCACAAATCAAGGGCAAAACTCTACATAAGACCTTACTACTCCATTGACAGACACGAGAATCCTAGGACTCAACTAAACCTAAAGCTTTGATACCAACACTACAATGACCGTTCCTCATTGCTACCAGCGTTCGAGTCTCGCCGGTGAACCCGTCCAGTCCCGAACAAGCCTTACTTAAATCATTAGATTATTACTTCATATTCACGTCATCCATCCATACAATTACTTTGATCCATAAAACTCTTTGTAATAAAAATTGAACAATGATCTTTATTAATTGAATAAAACTTTATTTCACATAATTGTAAAATAATACATCAAGACTTATAATCTCTAAATGGACATTTGTATTGACACAATTGTTTAATTTCATAACAATTTACACTATGAAAACTCAACCTCTAATAGCGAAACCACTCAGAATAAAGTGCTATGAGATGCCTTTACCTATCCGCAGTGGACTAAAATTGCTAATGAATGCACCTAGGCTGATCACTATCTGCAAAAAGGAAATAAGAGGGGTGAGTCTCATAAATTTAGCGATCATCGACTCCATGACAAGGCATAGATGGGAAACAAGCATAAGGTAGATAAGTTGAATAATAAAACTAGAATATCAAATCATAATTTTAAGAAACCAAATCATAAGTAAGATATTTGTGCCTTGTAAAAGAAATGACGTAAATCATAATGTAACATTTCACCTGGTAAAACAGTGCCGAAAACAAATGTAGTAAACAAAGTTCAATCATTGAAAACATCACTTGCCATTAAGCTATGAAGAATGGTATAAAAGTATGCATGCTTTTAAAATGTGTGGCATCTAATGAAATCAAAGTATATGGCCACATAAAACATTTCATGATCATTAAGTAAGCACCAAAAGCTTTTATTAAAACAAAGGGAGCTCCGAAGAAATCTTAACTGTCCTCCATGTAAAAGAGAATGTGTCGAAAACTCACCAGGCTCTCGAGTAGATAAGTATCATAATCGTCCATGGACCCACTTCCACATAATAACATTTGGGAGCTCTGTTCCACTGGATCCCCACAAACATGACGTCCCAACGGTGTTGGCTGGCATCGGAGAATCAAGCGGTCGTAACTGTAAATATCACTTGTGGCCTAGCCACATATAACAAACCGTGGCCTTGCAACGTGTATCAGAGACTATGGCCCCTAGCCATGTTTAATAGCCCGTCGATGACCTAAAGGTTCTCTAGCTAGAGCTCACTTATGCACAAGGGTCACACTTAACC